GAACTAGAACTGAACTAGAACTGAACTAGAACTGAACTAGAACTGAACTAGAACTGAACTAGAACTGAACTAGAACTGAACTAGAACTGAACTAGAACTGAACTAGAACTGAACTAGAACTGAACTAGAACTGAACTAGAACTGAACTAGAACTGAACTAGAACTGAACTAGAACTGAACTAGAACTGAACTAGAACTGAACTAGAACTGAACTAGAACTGAACTAGAACTGAACTAGAACTGAACTAGAACTGAACTAGAACTGAACTAGAACTGAACTAGAACTGAACTAGAACTGAACTAGAACTGAACTAGAACTGAACTAGAACTGAACTAGAACTGAACTAGAACTGAACTAGAACTGAACTAGAACTGAACTAGAACTGAACTAGAACTGAACTAGAACTGAACTAGAACTGAACTAGAACTGAACTAGAAGAAGAACAACAAGTTACGTATAAGCTGTGTGTTTTTATTGTTTTGTTAATGCCAAAATCAGAGATGAAAAATTGTGTGTGGAGAATTAGCAAATTAAAAACAAGCAAGAAATTATAGTCGGGCGAGGCCGACCATATAATACCCTACACCTGTTACAAATATAAAATGTGATTTAGTTTTCATAATAAAGCATTTAAGTTGAATTGCACCTTGCCTTGAATTATACTTAAGCCATTTATTGTTGAATTAAATTGTGGACATTTAAGTCAAATTTTGAAGGGGGATTTGTATAGGGGCTATGGTCAAATGAGACCCTATAATTATAAAATTCATGAGAGTCATCAAGGCTATTATAGAAATTGGTTTTGCAGCTTTTTGTCGAGATACGATTATATTAAACATAATTATAAACTTAAAATCCCTATTCGTCGGGTTCAGTTGTATGGGGTCTAGGTGAAATAATGGACCGATGTTAACCATTTTCAATAAGCTTCGTCTCCTGTACCATAGAAGATCTTCTGCCAAATTTCATTGAATTATCTTCAAAATTGCGACCTGTAGTTTGAATTAAAGGTTTACAAGCCCTATTCGGGGGTTCAGTTGTATGGGGGCTAGATGAGAAAATGGACCGATGTTAACCATTTTCAATAGACTTCGTCTCTGGGATAATAGAAGATCATGTGCCAAATTTCATTGAATTATCTTCAAAATTGCGACCTTTAGTTTGATTAAAAGGTTTACAAGCCCTATTCGGGGGTTCAGTTGTATGGGGGCTAGATGAGAAAATGGACCGATGTTAACCATTTTCAATAGGCTTCGTCTCTGGGATAATAGAAGAACATGTGCCAAATTTCATTCAATTATCTTCAAATTGCGACCTGTAGTTTGATTACAAGGTTTACAAGCCCTATTCGTGGTCTCAGTTGTATGGGGGCTAGGTGAAATAATGGACCGATATTAACCATTTTCAATACCATAGAAGATCTTCTGCCAAATTTCATTGAATTATCTTCAAAATTGCGACCTGTAGTTTGAATTAAAGGTTTACAAGCCCTATTCGGGGGTTCAGTTGTATGGGGGCTAGATGAGAAAATGGACCGATGTTAACCATTTTCAATAGACTTCGTCTCTGGGATAATAGAAGATCATGTGCCAAATTTCATTGAATTATCTTCAAAATTGCGACCTGTAGTTTGATTAAAAGGTTTACAAGCCCTATTCGGGGGTTCAGTTGTATGGGGGCTAGATGAGAAAATGGACCGATGTTAACCATTTTCAATAGGCTTCGTCCCTGGGACAATAGAAGATCACGTGCCAAATTTCATTCAATTATCTTCAAAATTGCGACCTGTAGTTTGATTACAAGGTTTACATGGACGGACGGACGGACAGACGGACGGACATAGCTAGATCGACTCAGAAAATGATTCTAAGCCGATTGGTATACTTTAAGGTGGGTATAGGACCAATATTATTGTGCGTTACAAACATCAGCACAAATCCAATATACCCTCCCCACTAGAGTGGTGTAGGGTATAATTAACTATTTTTGGTACTTTTTCGTTCTTTAACAGTTTTTTGAGTTTTCTATAATATAGCACCTAGAAACACGAAGTTAAGCGTGTAGAGTCAGGAGTAAATAAAAACCTAATAAAAAGGACTTTTTGTTACTATTTCGTTTTTTAACTGAACTTTTTGAAACGATTATGATCTTTCACTTGAATTTCAGATTTATAACTAAAATCATATTTTTCACTAAAAATTATTTTAAGTCCGATTTTTATCTTAAATACTGGTTTTAAGAGAAAAATCACAAATCCAATCTTCCACTAAGAATCTGATCATCAAATTTTTCGCTAAAAACCACAAACCACACGAAAAACTTTAAATTTTTGGGAAAAATTATTTTCACAAAAATTTCCCAAAAAAATCGAGTTTTTCTTTAAAAAAGTATTTTTTTCACCAAAAATGCAGATTTTTTAAAATTTGCAAACTTTTCTCTAGCACAACCTTTATGTTTAATAATATGCAGTGAAAGCCAAAAAAAATAAAATGTTTAAATTATAAAAAAGTTTTCATTTACAACATACGAGTGCATACTAAAAACGCATACAACAACAACACTATTATTATTACTATTTTATTATGATAATGATGATCATAAAGAAATTAATGTTTTGGCAAAAAACAAAACAAGAAAATAAACAAATGAAAAATGTGCGATCATACTTATTGTGGGAAATAAGTTGGCAAAATGCAATTTTAGCATATACACATCATCAACATCATACAAACCAAACAAACACACACACAAATAAGGAAAAACATAACAAACATAGACAGAAAAATTTCAGACCACATACGGACTCGTACACACACCAGCACACACACACATACATATTGTACGTGACATTTGAACGGTCTTTGCGTATGACTGACTGAATGAGTGTGAGTGACTGTTGACTTTGTGCATATTTTATATCATTATTATCATTATTATGAATTCAGATTTACATACATTCATACATAATAGATGGTCTTAGACCAGCCAGCAAACGAAATTGCCAAGAAGTCATGTTACGCATACTTATTATGATGACGCTAAATAATGACGTTTACTATTGTGATTATTACATTGACGACGATCATTATCATGTTGCTGTTGTTGATGACGATGGCTTAAAGCAGTAAGCTGCTCAACAGCAGCTACAACAACAATACAAATAATTTATGCTTTTATGCCATCGTATCATGATAAACGATTACTTAACAATTTGCACAAATATACATGATAATTATAACAATTACTATAAATATTTTAATTTGATTTGTTTGTTTATAAACAAACAAAAAAATATTAAAACTTAAAAAAATAATAAATAAGAGGGACAAAAACGAGTGTAGAAAAAAAAAATATGTAATAAATTTTTATGCTTTCATGTCATCATAAATGCTGACCATTTTTGTAATATGTAATATATTTTTTGCTATTAAAGCATAAATATTTTCATCTAATACTTTTCCTTGTAGGCATTTAAAGCGTAAACCAGTGACAGTGTTCCTCGTTAACAAAAACATTTAATGGTCCTGGTCTGAATTGCAAGTATTAAGTCACTATTGTGTAGTGGGTTTTCAAATTCACTAAAATTTTATCCTAATACCATGATTTCTTAATCGATCTGTTGACAATAAACTGATTTTTTGTAAGAGTCTAGTCTATAGTCTAGTCTATAGTGTAGTCTATAGTGTAGTCTATAGTGTAGTCTATAGTGTAGTCTATAGTGTAGTCTATAGTGTAGTTAGTAGTCTATAGTGTAGTCTATAGTGTAGTCTATAGTGTAGTCTATAGTGTAGTCTATAGTGTAGTCTATAGTGTAGTCTATAGTCTAGTCTATAGTCTAGTCTATAGTCTAGTCTATAGTCTAGTCTATAGTCTAGTCTATAGTCTAGTCTATAGTCTAGTCTATAGTCTAGTCTATAGTCTAGTCTATAGTCTAGTCTAGTCTATAGTCTAGTCTATAGTCTAGTCTATAGTCTAGTCTATAGTCTAGTCTATAGTCTAGTCTATAGTCTAGTCTATAGTCTAGTCTATAGTCTAGTCTATAGTCTAGTCTATAGTCTAGTCTATAGTCTAGTCTATAGTCTAGTCTATAGTCTAGTCTATAGTCTAGTCTATAGTCTAGTCTATAGTCTAGTCTATAGTCTAGTCTATAGTCTAGTCTATAGTCTAGTCTATAGTCTAGTCTATAGTCTAGTCTATAGTCTAGTCTATAGTCTAGTCTATAGTCTAGTCTAGTCTATAGTCTAGTCTATAGTCTAGTCTATAGTCTAGTCTATAGTCTAGTCTATAGTCTAGTCTATAGTCTAGTCTAGTCTAGTCTATAGTCTAGTCTATAGTCTAGTCTATAGTCTAGTCTATAGTCTAGTCTATAGTCTAGTCTATAGTCTAGTCTATAGTCTAGTCTATAGTCTAGTCTATAGTCTAGTCTATAGTCTAGTCTATAGTCTAGTCTATAGTCTAGTCTAGTCTATAGTCCTAGTCTATAGTCTAGTCTATAGTTCTATATCTAGTCCTAGTCTAGTCTATAGTCTAGTCTATAGTCTAAGTCTATAGTTAGTCTATAGTATAGTCTATAGTCTAGTCTATAGTCTAGTCTATATAGTCAGTCGTATAGTCTAGTCATCTCTAGTTACAAATAAGCCAGTTATAGTCTAGGTCTATAGTCTAGTCTATATTCTAGTCTAGAGTCTAGTCTGATAGTCAGTCTAGTCTATAGTCTACTATTGGAGTCTAGTCTATAGTCTAGTATATAGTCTAGTCGTAGTCTAGTCTATAGTCAGTCTATAGTCTAGTCTATAGTCTAGTCTATAGTCTAGTCTAAATCTAGTTTATAATCTAGTCTATAGTCTAGTCTATATAGTTTAACTATAGACAATAAAAAAGGACTTATAACCAAAAACATAAAGAAAATCATAAACCAATTTTTTATGTATTTACAACCATCATCTTTTCATGAAATAATTATCTAAATAAAATCAAAATTTTCTCCATTTCATTTCAGATTTCTCGACATCGAAAATGTAGGTTTATTACTCTGACACTACTCGTTTCGCTACTCTGCTTACCTCACACTGCGCTTAGTTTGGCACCCGCACCAGTAGATTATTTAGTGCCACCACCACTGCCACAAGGCAATGCAGCTTCACATGTAAAACAATCACGAACACAAAATATACTGCCCGCAGAAAGTAGAACAATACCAAAGTTTATTAATGCACAGTTGCCAGCGAAACCCAAGGATAAACATCCTGGTTTAATGACAAGAGTTGCCAGATGGTTTGGTTTTGCCAATCAAAATTCAGCAGCAACGGATCAACAGTTGGCTGCCGGAACAAATAAACAACAATTTTATTATTATCAAAAACCTCAGCAGCAACAACAATATGGTTCGGGTGATAAGGAGCCGTGTAATTTATGTAATAAATATCCCTGGGTACCCATGATGGCAAATAGTATACATTATCCGGCCACGGGCAACCAATGGGATGCTGCTAAACAAACTCAACAGCTGCAATATCAGGGGAATAATAATCCCACACACAATCTTTATAATGCTAATGGTGGTCAACAGCCTCAGAATTTGCAGAATTCATATGGTGCAATAGCCGGCCAAAATGCACCTCATATACAACATGCTGCCTCGAGTGTCAAACAAAGAGCTGTCAAATTTAATTTCCCTCTTCCCTATGTACCTCAAAACAACAATAAAGCCCCAGATGCTCCCAATAACATACAATATTCTTCTGGACCTTTCCTTCCCATACCTATACCTCCCTTTTTAAGTAATTCCGCCTTACCACCTTTGTATAATGCCCAAAACTTCCTACCGGTCGTTACTCCCGCTCCCAACACTATACAACAATTACCCTCCACGGAACCGGCCCATTTTGCCGAAAATATAGCAGAACATTCAGAAATACATATCGACACTGCAATACCTACTCAAATACCTCCCACAATTCCAGATAAAGATGCCAGTTTTGAGATAGTTAAAAGCCATCAATTGGTGGATTATATATCTTCAGTGGAGTACCCTGCTTCCTATGTTCCTTCTCATGCTTATGATGTCAGTACCCAGGCAGCACCTCAATCTTTAAATAACCAGCAAACGGATAACAAAATAAATACAGGACTTTATCAACATTCTACTTTTAGTCCAAATTTAGATCAACATGTGCCAGCCTCCCAAATTTTAACGGATCCTAGTAGCTTTATACAAGGTCAACAACAACAGTCTAACCAACAATCTGAACAAACCACATTCATTAATCAGCAGCCTCAATATTTAGAACAAGTACAACAACAACAGTCTAACCAACAATCTGAACAAAGTACATTCATTAATCAGCAGCCTCAATATTTGGAACAAGTACAGCATTATGAATATGACAATTTTGTGGCCGCCTCACATCAAAATTCCTCGGTAATTCACCAGCAACAACAGCAGCATGAGCAACAACAACAACATCAGCATGAGCAACAGCAACATAATACACATTTAGACGCTTGGACCTTGGAATCGAATGATTATATATTTTCAACCTCATCCCCAGAAGCATTCTCTACCACTGAAGAAACTTCCACCTTTACTACCGAATGGGAAAGCACCACAGAACAACAAACACAAGACAATGAAGTAGAGTTCATAGCTTCTATACAAACCAATGCCCAGCAGTCAACAAAACTGTGGCCCCAAAAACCCAAACAAAGAGAAACTCCCAAACGTTTATTGGACTCTCCCATACAACATATTAATGGAAATTTGGGGGTACCAAGGCCATTTACCAGAGATCCTTCTGATTTGACATTTAGACTGGGACCCACAAATCATAAATTGCACGAGACCAGCAAAACTACCACCTCACAACAATACTGGAAACCCCAAACTCCAGTAACAGAAACTCCAATTTCCACCTCCACCTTCAGTTCCATAGATGCCAGTGGTCAATATGCCGGCATGGCACCACCCTCACTACCCTCCACCTATAACAGTGATCAAATGTTATTGCCCTATTTAACCACCAAAAACAGACCAAGACCATTCGAAACTACCAAGGTTAATATGGTAACAAAAACACCTTCCACGGCTGCTTACTCTACCTGGAGTCAAGCTCAAAATATAGAGCTACACACACCTCAGGAATCAATGCTAGTGAACTCTCATGTAAAACCAGCCCCTACCACCACTACAACTACTGCTAAGCCACGTACCACAAAATATCTAACCAAAATTTTGGCTTCCAATCTTAGGGAACTTTTGCAGCGTGAACATGAACCCACTAATGCCATGTTGAAAGTGGGACCAAATGCTTTAGATATCGATATTAATAAACTACAAAAGAATATAGATGATTGGACAGAACAAGAATATACCTCTTTGTCACATAAACCTAGTACACCCACCATACGTGGACGATCCAAACATATACCCTCCGAATATTTACCCCCCACCACGTCGGCAGTAAAGGCGGGTCGCCAATCTAAGACCACAAAAGGTTTCACAGACAATTCAGAACTACCTAGTTCCATTAATAATTTAGAACCTTTATACGAAAGAGAAAGTACAAAACGTTTTCAATACACCCAAATAACCGATAATCATTTAAGAGATTTCTATAACAATTTTGAGGCTCTGAAATCGAGAACAACACCAGTTGCAACCACTACCACAACTATGGCTCCTACTACAACTACTACTAAAGCAACAACAACAACTACCACCACAACAGAGAAACCTTTATATTTAAGACCTATACAAATGTTAGAACCTGAAGAACTTTGGAAAAAGGCCAAAGTTTCGATATCACCTAAAACACAGGAAAAAGTCTATGTGGTAACACCTCAGCCTAGATTTTTCCCTCAACGTTTTTATTCGCCAACAGTGGCGCCAACCACTACTACAACAACAACAACCACTGAAAGATCATTTATAAGTTTAGGCAGTGGTTTTAAATCGCCAAGATTTTTAGTGAGACCAACACCAGGAAATGGTAAGTATTAAGGAATAACCTTAAAACTACTAAAATGTCTATCAACTTGTATAATGTAAATTAATGGAAAAAGAGGATCATTTGAGAACGAAGAACTGAAATTACCAGATACTTCAATACTTTTGATTATAAATTACTTACGTTTCGTTTTACTACCGACTTTGCAATAATCGGTTTATAATTGGTTATCGTTTACCTATAAGGTCCACTTTAGACAACAACTTGAATAACTTACTTAAGAAATCGGTTCATGATTGACTTTAATTGCAAATATTTCAGTTAAAGAATATTCGGTTTGAAGGATCAGAAGAAGCTTTATTTACTGAAGGGGCTTCAGTTGCATAAACATCTTCAAAACATAGCTCGGTGTACTACCGAACGTTTTATAATAATAAATTTCTTAAGAAATCGGTTCATATTAACTCATAACTCCAATATAAGGTCAATCTTCCGGAAATTGGAAGATTTTAACTGACTCCATACGCCTCATCATGATCCTCTTTATAAAAACATTATTCCTGCACTATCCTTTTTCCCTTTTAATCACAACCCCCCATTTCTTTTATTTCTCCCTCTTACCTTTACAGCTCATAAACTTTCAAAAATTTCAGATACCCAATCGAAAGAAAATTCCAAGGAAAATCTAAGTAATTCATATTTTACGCCTGAGTGGTTTGGTTTAAAGGGGCTATCAGCGTATGTACCATCACAACCGGTGGAAATTATAGATGGAAATTCTAAAGTAAATCACATTAAAGCAAAATTATCATAATATCCCTAAAGGAACTTATTAATCGAAATTTTTAAATTTCTCTCAACACCTAAACATAAACACATTTTTCATACACACATGCACCTCATTCACCCACCTACCATAAATTAAACATACACGCACACACACACACATATATTTCTAGGTCTTAAACATTGTAACACCGCCTAGTAATTTGGAAACTACTACGCGCCATAGTATAATGGATCTAACCAAAGATCGTCATGCCTCCGCCAACAAGAGAAAATCAACAATGGCTCCATCGCCTAGATAAAAAATAAAGTCCTTGATAATTACTTTTTACCCTTTTTTCATATCCATTGTATTATAAATCATCTTGTAAGAAATTTACATATTTTCACTTTTAAAAAACTATTTTCAATATTTAATTTTCAAACGGATTTAAGTATCATTAGCCAATATAAATAAATACTTATTGTATGTATGTATTTATTATGCAAAAAAGAGAAAATGTTAAATCTTTTATTTAAGATTTAAACATTTTATTTTCTGTTCTAAGCTTTAATAAATTTTTTATTAAAAATTCTGTTTTATAAAATGAATTATTAAAGAAAATTAAAGATACGATTTTAGTATCTGCTAATAAAAAGAATTAAATGTATAATTTAATAGTCATCATATTTAGTATTTATAATATAATTAATTGTAATTATAAGTAAAAATGTAAATAAAAATTTAAACAAAATATAATATATAAATATAAAAACGAAAACAATAATTAACGTATAATTCAAGTGGCTCTTTAAATAGGGAGGGAACATTTTCTCTCATTTGTATATATATACAGGTTCTACTTTGAACCTAATCTATTAAGAAAATAGTTACCGAAAACCGAGAACATAGTTTCTGCTTTGATTTAGAACATCATTAGCATTAATCTTTGAAAGTGGTTAAGTTGCAGGAGTATTACGCAGAGGAACTTTAGTATTATTAAGTGTACGGAGTTTTGATGGTATGAGCTTTCGTTGCTGAAAGTTCAGGTAATTTTAAATTCGGTTACTGCAAATCAATTTTCGAGAGTTTTGTTGGTAAAAGCTTTAATATGATGTTTTAAGCTGCAGTTACTGTGACTTCTTTTACAGCAGCTTAAACTAGAAACTAAAGAGCTTTGATTGCTTAAGTTGGAAAGTCTATTTAGTTTGAACTTTGGTTGCTGAAGCTCCTTTGCCAGAAACGTATACTACTAAACTTCTTTAGCTTGAAGCTCAAGTTTACGGAGTTTTGGTGCTAAAAACTTTGGTTTCTAAACCTTTAATTTGCTGGAGCTCGGTGTTTATGTAAGTTACCGAGGATTATGTTACAGGAGCTGAAACTAGAAAGCTTTGGTTGCTAAAACCGGAAAGTTCAGGTGGTTTAAACTTCGGCTGCTGTAGCTCAAGTTTTTCTGAAGTTTTGGTGGTAAGAACTTTTTGTTTCCTAAAACTTTAATTGCGCTTTGTGTTCAAAGCTGCAGTTGCTGAGGCTTCTGTTTTAGGAGCTGAAATTAGATTAAGTGTACGGAGTTTTGATGGTATGAGCTTTCGTTGCTGAATATTCAGGTAATTTTAAATTCGGTTACTGCAAATCAAGTTTCGAGAGTTTTGTTGGTAAAAGCTTTAATATGATGTTTTAAGCTGCAGTTACTGTGACTTCTTTTACCGCAGCTTCAACTAGACACTAAAGAGCTTCGATTGCTTAAGTTGGAAAGTCCATTTAGTTTGAACTTTGGTTGCTGAAGCTCCTTTGCCAGAAACGTATACTACTAAACTTCTTTAGCTTGAAGCTCAAGTTTACGGAGTTTTGGTGCTAAAAACTTTGGTTTCTAAAACTTTAATTTGCTGGAGCTCGGTGTTTATGTAAGTTACCGAGGATTCTGTTACAGGAGCTGAAACTAGAAAGCTTTGGTTGCTAAAACCGGAAAGTTCAGGTGGTTTAAGCTTCAGCTGCTGTAGCTCAAGTTTTTCTGAAGTTTTGGTGGTAAGAACTTTTTGTTTCCTAAAACTTTAATTGCGCTTTGTGTTCAAAGCTGCAGTTGCTGAGGCTTCTGTTTTAGGAGCTGAAATTAGATTAAGTGTACGGAGTTTTGATGGTATGAGCTTTCGTTGCTGAATATTCAGGTAATTTTAAATTCGGTTACTGCAAATCAAGTTTCGAGAGTTTTGTTGGTAAAAGCTTTAATATGATGTTTTAAGCTGCAGTTACTGTGACTTCTTTTACCGCAGCTTCAACTAGACACTAAAGAGCTTCGATTGCTTAAGTTGGAAAGTCCATTTAGTTTGAACTTTGGTTGCTGAAGCTCCTTTGCCAGAAACGTATACTACTAAACTTCTTTAGCTTGAAGCTCAAGTTTACGGAGTTTTGGTGCTAAAAACTTTGGTTTCTAAAACTTTAATTTGCTGGAGCTCGGTGTTTATGTAAGTTACCGAGGATTCTGTTACAGGAGCTGAAACTAGAAAGCTTTGGTTGCTAAAACCGGAAAGTTCAGGTGGTTTAAGCTTCAGCTGCTGTAGCTCAAGTTTTTCTGAAGTTTTGGTGGTAAGAACTTTTTGTTTCCTAAAACTTTAATTGCGCTTTGTGTTCAAAGCTGCAGTTGCTGAAGCTTCTGTTTCAGAAGCTGAAATTAGAAACTAGAGAGCTTTGGTTGCAAAAGCTGGAAAGTTCAGGTAGTTTGAACATCGGTTGCTGATGTTCAAGTTTATTGGTAGTAAGAGATTTTGTTTTCTAAATCTTTGATTTTGATTGCTAGAGCTCGGTGTTCAAAGTTGCAGTTACTAAGAATTCTGTTACAGGAGCTGAAACTAGAAAGCTTTGGTTGCTAAAGCAAGAAAGTTCAGGTGGTTAAAACATCGGCTGCTGCAGCTCAAGTTATTCTGGAGTTTTGGTGGTAAGATCTTTTGTTTCCTAAAACATTGATTTTTATTGCTAGAGCTCGGTGATCAAAGCTGAAGTTAGCTGAAACTAAAGTGCTTTGGTTGCAAAAGCTTGAAAATTCTAGTAGTCTCTCTACAGCCTCTGCTACAGGTGCTTAAACTTGAAACTTAAACCATCGATTTCGAAGTAATGCACGCTTTTATATCGAATATTACCCAGCTTGCTCTTTAAAGGCGCTTTATTAAGTTTATGGAGTTTTGGTGCTAAAAGCTTCAGTTGCTAAAGATTGAAAGTTTAGATAGGTTTCTAAAACTTTGTTTTTGATTGCTGAAGCACGGGAATTAATTCTGCAGCTACTAAGATTTCTGTTACAGGAGCTTAAACTAGAAACTGCAGGCTTTGATTGCAAAAACTGGAATGTTCTGATAGTTCATGGGCTGAAGCTTAAGTTCATGGAGTTTTGGTGATATGAGCCTTAGTTTGGTTTTGATTGCTGGAGCAAGACTCTGTTATAGGACCTAAAACTGGAAACTAGTTTCTAGCGTACTCTTTGAAAGCGCTTAAGTTGCATGATTATTTGGTACAGAGCTTCAACATAAATTTCACTTGAAAAGTGTTGCTAGCTGGTATTTCGGAAACTTAAGTTTATGGAGTTTTGGTGGTAAAAGCTTAGTTGTTAAAGATGGAAAGTTTAATTAGGTTTCGAAAAAGTTGATTGATGGAGCTCGGAGTTTAGAGCAGTAGTTACTGAGGCCTCTGTTACAGGAGCTGAAACTATAAACAAGAGAGCTTTGGTTACTTAAGCTGGTAAGTTCAGGTAGTTTGAACTTCCTAAAGCTAAAGTTTGTGGAGTTTTTGTAGTAAGTGCTTTGATTTTGATTGCTGGAGCTCAACGTTTAGAGCTACTGTCACTGAAGCCTCTGTTACACAAGCTAAAACTAGAAACTAGTTGTATGTAATACACGCCAAGTGTACTTTTTAAGTAGCAGAAGTATTAGGCACAGGAGCTTCAGCTGGAATTCCACTTGGAAACTGTTAGTTGTTAAAGATGGAAAGTTTAATTAGGTTTCGAAAAAGTTGATTGATGGAGCTCGCAGTTTAGAGCAGCAGTTACTGAGGCTTCTGTTACAGGAGCTGAAACTATAAACATGAGAGCTTTGGTTACTTAAGCTGGTAAGTTCAGGTAGTTTGAACTTCCTGAAGCTAAAGTTTGTGGAGTTTTTGTAGTAAGTGCTTTGATTTTGATTGCTGGAACTCAACGTTTAGAGCTACTGTCACTGAAGCCTCTGTTACACAAGCTAAAACTAGAAACTAGTTGTATGTAATACACGCCAAGTGTACTTTTTAAGTAGCAGAAGTATTAGGCACAGGAGCTTCAGCTGGAATTCCACTTGGAAACTGTCGGTAGCTGGAACTTTGGAAGCCCAAGTTTACGCATTTTTGGTGGTAACAGTTTTTTTACTGAAGCTGGGTGTTTAGAGCATCAGTTATTGGAGCTTTTGTTACAGAAGCTTCCGTTGTGAATGCTTTAGTTGCCGGATGCCTAAATGGAAACTTTTAAAGCAAATAGAAGCGACAGTGGAACTCTACTAAGTTATACAAAAATTCTCACTTTCCTTAAAATTTCACTGAACTTTAAAATGCATCATCTTGAACTTGTTGAAAACGAGAAAAAAAAAACAATTAATTTTTTAATAAAAATCGGTGTATATGTTGGAAATAAAAAAAGAAATATTTTAACAATTTTAATTAATTTTAAACGAACAACATCAGATGGTATTTAAGCACTCTACTCCAAACGTATGTAGCTAACAAGGTCGCTTATCTTGTCATAAAATAATTAAAACAAATCTTTTTTTCACATATACTTATTGTATCAATGAATGGAAAGGAAATTAAAAAATCAACGTAACCAATAATGGAATCATTTCAAGATTACCTCATTCTTATCGCATACAATAAAGTTAAAAATGAAAACGTTTTAACCTAAAATCTTAAGTTGAAAAAAGTAAATGTACGTCATATTTGCTTAAATTTTTATAAAATTTCTAGAACAACAATAATAAAAACACATAAATAATGATTGATTTTTCGCTTGTTATGATAAATACTATAGTATAAGTAATATATTTTATTAAGTCAGTATAAATACTTTTTACAATAAATTATTATTTTTTTTATTTTTACAAAATAATAAAGATTATCATGTGCTTGGCATTAACCGAATTTTATTCAAAATCCTTTAACGTTAATACAAATTCGTTCGTTTAATATTAATAAAGTTTTCATTTTGTTTAAATTTACAATCTACTAAATCTAGAGTTATTTGGGCGTCCCAAACAAGTTATGATGCCTTCACGACCACATCTATCTGTGAAGGTATTGTAAACTTGTTTTTCGGCACACTGTTTGATTTCTACAACAAAGTTTTCAGTTATTTTATTCCATTTACACTTGTAATATTTGGAGCAATCGTTGGCATGAGCGTATGTTCCCTCAGATAAGCATACGAATTCATCGGTTTTGGCGACTTGTGGGGCAACTTTTTCTGGTGCTTGTGGTGGTTCGGTTACTGGAGGTTTAGTAGTTTCGCCTTCAGGAGCTTTTGTGGGTTCTGTAGCGGGAGCTTCTGTTTCAGGGGCTTTGGTTGGTTCGGTTTCAGGAGCTTTGGTTGTTTCAGTTTCGGGAGCTTCTGTTTCAGGGGCTTTAGTTGGTTCAGTAGCGGGAGCTTCTGTTTCAGGGGCTTTGGTTGGTTCTGTAGGTGTGGCTTCAGTTTCAGTTGGCTCAGTTTCAGGAGCTTTGGTTGGTTCAGTAGCAGGTGCTTCAGTTTCAGGAGCTTTAGTTGGTTCAGTAGCGGGAGCTTCTGTTTCAGGGGCTTTGGTTGGTTCTGTAGGTGTGGCTTCAGTTTCAGTTGGCTCAGTTTCAGGAGCTTTGGTTGGTTCAGTAGCAGGTGCTTCAGTTTCAGGAGCTTTAGTTGGTTCAGTAGCGGGAGCTTCTGTTTCAGGGGCTTTGGTTGGTTCTGTAGGTGTGGCTTCAGTTTCAGTTGGCTCAGTTTCAGGGGCTTTGGTTGGTTCAGTAGCAGGTGCTTCGGTAGTAACGGGAGCTTCAGTAGTTACAGGAGCTTCTGTTGTTACTGGAGCCTCGGTTGTTACTGGAGCTTCAGTTGTTACAGGAGCTTCAGTTGTGACTGGTGCTTCGGTTGTTACTGGAGCTTCAGTTGTTACAGGTGCTTCAGTTGTTACAGGTGCTTCAGTTGTTACTGGAGCTTCAGTTGTTACAGGAGCTTCGGTTGTTACAGGAGCATCGGTTGTTACAGGAGCTTCGGTTGTTACTGGAGCATTGGTTGTTACAGGAGCATCGGTTGTTACAGGAGCTTCAGTTGTTACAGGTGCTTCAGTTGTTACTGGTGCTTCAGTTGTTACTGGTGCTTCAGTTGTTACTGGAACTTCGGTTGTTACAGGTGCTTCAGTTGTTACAGGAGCATCAGTTGTTACAGGAGCATCAGTTGTTACAGGAGCATCAGTTGTTACTGGAGCATCAGTTGTTACTGGAGCATCGGTTGTTACTGGAGCATCAGTTGTTACTGGAGCATCAGTTGTTACAGGAGCATCAGTTGTTACTGGAGCCATAGTTGGTTCATCATTGCAGTCATAGTTGGCGGTACAATATCCACCTATGGGATAGAAGTTTTGACCTTCAGGACAGTGACGTCTAAAAGCTTTCAATTCACCATCGATTTCACAACAATAGTTAAATTCGTTGCAGCTACCATCTTGAGGGAAAAAGCCGGTAGTGGGACAAATAAAATCGTGAACAGGTATATCTGTTGTTTCGGTTTCACCACTTTCAGTAGTTTCAGTTGAGGGAGCTTCAGTTGCAGGTACTTCGGTAGCAGGTGTTTCGGTGGCGGGTGTTTCGGTAGCAGGAGTTTCAGTTGAAGGAGCTTCGGTAGCTGGAGCTTCAGTTGCAGGAGCTTCGGTTGCAGGTGTTTCAGTTGAAGGAGTTTCGGTAGCAGGTGTTTCAGTTGAAGGAATTTCAGTTGAAGGAGCTTCAGTTGAAGGAGCTTCAGTAGCAGGGGCTTCAGTAGCAGGGGCTTCAGTAGATGGGGCTTCAGTAGAGGGAGCTTCAGTAGCAGGAGCTTCAGTAGCAGGAGCTTCAGTAGAGGGAGCTTCAGTAGATGGGGCTTCGGTAGCGGGAGCTTCGGTAGCTGGAGCTTCAGTAGATGGGGCTTCAGTAGCAGGAGCTTCAGTAGCGGGAGCTTCGGTAGCAGGAGCTTCAGTAGCGGGAGCTTCGGTAGCAGGAGCTTCAGTAGCGGGAGCTTCAGTAGCAGGAGCTTCAGTAGCGGGAGCTTCGGTAGCAGGAGCTTCAGTAGCAGGAGCTTCGGTAGCAGGAGCCTCAGTAGCAGGAGCTTCGGTAGCAGGAGCTTCAGTAGCGGGAGCTTCGGTAGCAGGAGCTTCAGTAGCTGGAGCTTCGGTAGCTGGAGCCTCTGTAGCAGGAGCTTCAGTAGCGGGAGCCTCTGTAGCAGGAGCTTCAGTAGCGGGAGCCTCAGTAGCTGGAGCCTCAGTAGCGGGAGCCTCAGTAGAAGGAGCTTCAGTAGCTGGAGCCTCAGTAGCAGGAGCCTCAGTAGCGGGAGCTTCAGTAGCAGGAGCTTCAGTAGCTGGAGCTTCAGTAGCAGGAGCTTCAGTTGCTGGTTTCTCAGTTGGTTCAGTAGGAATAGTTGGATTTTCCACTTCACCTGGTGCTAGTGTAGTTTCTGTAGGAATTGTGGGGTTCTCAACTTCTCCTGGTGCTTGTGTAGCTTCGGTTGGAATTGTGGGGTTTTCAACTTCACCTGGTGCTGGTGTTGCTTCGGTAGGAATTGTAGGTTCTTCTACATCTCCAACTGTGGGCTCGGTGGGTATTGTAGGATCTTCTACATCTGGAGCGTTAGTTACTTCACTTTCATCATTTATTTCACTCAAAGTTGCTTTAGGAACACAATATCCTTTAAGGGAACTAAACACCTCACCCTTTTGACAAGTCAAATATTTTAAAGTTAAACCACCATATTTATTAGCGTAACAACCATAAAAAACGGGGCTATTATCTTTAATGGCAAAAAAACCGGGAAGTTTGCATGGATTATCTTCGATAATATCGGCACCGATACCAACCGCGAACAATAACACGCACAAAAATATTAAATTTTTCATGATGTTTTTTGTTTTTCTTTTTTGTCTATAACCGTTAAACGGTGAATTAATAACACAGTAGTTAAAATTTAATTGGCGAATTTTTTCTTTATTTATATAACCCGGTATGCCCAATAACCGTTATGAGTCAAAAATCTAAACAAACTAAGTTGTAGAAAATTTCTATCAATACTTTTATACCAACGCTAAAAAAAATATATCGCCAAGTTAATATTTGACAATCGGGTAAACAACACATTTCCACCAAACTCTTCGCCTTCGTCTGTAATCACAAGCACAAAAATTGTGGTAATTAACTGATAAACAAGACGTTCAAGAACAAAAACTAGAAATAATATCAGTCTTATCATTATCCGTATGGAAGCATTGTTGTAATGCATGCTAATCATTAAAGACATTTATTAAACGGCTGGTCGTATATATGTACATACATATGTGTTTTTCGACATATTTCTTTCTAATTGTTTTTCGGACAAGAAGTTCTCGGAAGTACCTAAACAAAATAAATTATAATAAAGTATTTTAATTGTTAACTTCCTGTTATTTTGCGAAATCGCACGAGTTTCTTTTTGAAAAATATATATTCTATACTTTGACACTTCAAGAGAAAAAAGAAAGTGGTTTATAATCTAGATTTAAGAACTTTTTTTTTATTAATAATAAATATTTATTAAAAACAAATTGAACACACCATAAGTTGAATATTTTAAACAAATTTTAAATTTAATCATCGTCATCATCATCATTATCGCTAACACTAGCGTTAAGGTTGGCTAAACTGTTGATACAGGTACCAGTTTCTGCATTAAATGTTGCTCCAAAACCACATTGCATGGGTATAGCCTTCAATTTACCCTTCTTGGTAATACAGGCATAATAAATATTCTCAGCAATTTCGGAGGCATAATTACCTTCCTGGACACACACAATACTAGCGGCTTGTAACTTGGCCTTTTCTTTGTTGATTTTCTCTTCCTCTTTCGCTTTCTTTTTTGCTTCTTTTTCCAATTCTTTTTGTAATTTTTCTTCAGCTTTCAGGCGTTCTTTTTCTTGTTTCAGTTGCAGTTTATCCTGTTCCTTTAATAGCTTCAATTCGGCCTTAACAATGTCAATATCTCTGATTTGATTCCAACCAAAGAGCGGCACATCTTGGGTGGGTAAATTATTAAAGTCTACAAAACATTTGCCCAATTCTGGATAGAAAATTTCATGGGAAGCGCAATCAATATGAAAAATACGAAAACCAGCACCTATGAGACGAGGTTCACATAGATAATATGAAGAATTGCTGGTGGGATCAGCTACTCCACCTTTAACTAGACACTGAATGGGCAGAGAACAAGAGGAAATATCACGACTACAACGATTAAGTTCAATATTGAAGGCTTGTTTTTCGGGACATGATTTTGTAAGCAAATGAAAGCTGCCATCAAGAGATCCTTCTAAAGAACAATCGTTATATTGTTGGCAATTTAGCTCATTAGCCTGTATACCGGGAGTGGAACAAACTGGAGGAGCTGCTGGAGTAGTAGTTTCTGGTTCGTCAGTAGTTTGTTCTGCATTAGATTCACTAGTGGTTTCTGTAGTTTCTTCTTCAATGTCTGACTTGGTAGTTTCACTGTTCGGCAATGTGGAGTCATTGTTAGAGGAAGTGTTTTCCTCTGTTTGTTGTGTAGTTTCGGTTATTATCACTTCTGGCGTTTGGGTAGAACAACCAACTGTAACTTGATTACCATTAGCCGCAGTACAATCACAAACACATTCTATTCGATTTGTTGTTGTAGTTGTTTCAATAATTGATTCTGTACTAGACGAGTCATTGTTGGGAGACTGTGTATTCTGAACATCTTCAGCATTATTTGCAGATTCTGTAACAGATTCAGTAGGATTTTCCAAATCATTTGCGGTCTCAGTTACTAGTAAAACTTCATCTTCGGCATTTCCACTTCCCTCAATTGAATTTAGATTTTCCACAATTACTGCATCTCCATTAAGCTCCTGATTCTGGCCAGATACGCTTGTTAAAGGGTCCAAAGTAGTTTCACCTAGGGAGACATTTACTAGGACCTAACAACATTATTAATTAAAACCATTTTGTTTTACAACTGCTAACTGCTAAACTCACCATCAATAATAGAAATACACTTAATTTGTTAATTTTCTTCGACCACATTTTCAATGATTCTAGTTCGAATTTCGTTATAATACTTAGGATCTCCTTGCTAGCTCTGTAACTTTTTATAGGCTGCAAAATTTGCCCACTAATAATAAAATAAACTTATTTTTATTCACACTTCGTCATCTTAATGATCGTCATTTATCTTGGATAAATAAATCCACTGAAATGTGTGTCAACACTTTTTTTCTTTGCTTTCCATAAACAACAACTGTAAGATCGCTTGCTACTTATTAATTACTACTTGAGAAAAAAAAAACTTTTATCTCGAATAGATTTACTATATCAAAACAAAAACATTATTTGAATGTGTTAATGTGGGTGGGTAGTTGGGAAGGGGACCATGTTTATGATGTTATTTACAGCAATATCCGGTAAAAGTATTCGTAAACATTGTAGGTACACATTTATAGGGATTCGAAAAGGTTAGATGTTAGATTCCTTTGCATTCTATGTAAACATTTCATAGAATATGCGGTACGAAAGATATTCTATACAAACATATATGTGTTACTAGCAACTGTATCCAACTTTTGTTAGTGATCCGTTATATTGAACTCTATTCGAACAGACGATCACTTGTAGTACTCGTACATCAAAGAAACTCCATTCTCAACTCAGTCATGTCAAATAACCATGAACATTTGTCCGTCTGAGTAGCAAATAATCGTTCGATTGGAACATCGTTGCAACATTCGAGAAACTAGTTTCTAGTGATGAAATAACCAAACGTTAGCGAACTTAAATTCTACAGAAATTAGACACGATATTATAGCTCGAATAAGGTCCAGTTAAGCTTCATAAAATGAGTTTAATTGAAGTCAACTGTGGCCAAATACGAGACGTCCTGTGTTGCAAATTATCATGTAATACATGTATGTTAACGGAGCTACAGATTGACCGGGAACGTAGCTGAAACATCTGCGACAGTGCTTTCTTCAAAATTAAAATAAACGAACTGTAACGAACTTAATTTGAGGTAAATTTGCAACGAGATTAAAACTCGATTGAACTGAAGAAAGTTATTGAGCCGAAACTTCCCAGAAATTATTCCATTTCATGTGCAAGTAGTCTCAACCTATTGAACTTGAATTTTGATATAATTTACGTTAAAAATTTGGTTAACACCAGATGTAGATCTAATTAAAATTTTGCAATCTAAATGAATTTTCATTAGTTGCCCATAAACGTTAACCCTCTAATATACTGTGTCCATACTTTCGAGACGAAGATTCATCAAACAGATTGTCCGGTAACATCAGTGAAACATTCGTGAAATATTTCTTATCATGTACAAGTAAATTCTACAACATTGTGTGGTCAAATTCAAGACAACTTCTGATTGTTGGAAATATCGGAAAAGCATTCGAACTCATCATTTCCTAGATGATAGCTAGCAACCGAAGAAAGTCCAACTTTTTTCTGCCGACTAGATTTAGGATAATTTAACGCGAGATAATTAAATCGAAGACCTGAGTTCTTATTTGATATTAAGGAAATCCGGTTATTGGTGAGAATCTATATAATCTTTCAAGTGGGGCCTGAACCACTCTATCAGATTTACACACAAAGCATTGATAGAGGGATTAGAAATTGTTGGTGGGGTTTTCCTATCTCGCAAATTAATCCGACAAGGATCAGCAAACGATAGAGACACCCTATGGTATGGTGCTAAAGTTCGGAGGACAGACACATTAAGGTTTAAAATGATTTGTTAAGGAAATTTTGCTGCTGATTAAAGCCGTTTGAATATTTGAAAAAAATATAACCATATAATTAATAAACAAATCATTTGCTTAAAGCAAACTATCACATACACTATCCCTCGATAATCAATGAAGCGTAACGGTCTGCTCTCAATAAGCTTTAACTCACTTTCCTAAAAAAAAGAACTCTCTTATAGTACTCACAATAGTTTAACGCTAAATATACTCACCCCCAAATAATAATTTGAGTTAAAATTAGTTAATAAAAACACTCGTTAAAAAATACTACTCAAAATTCTTAACGTACGAATGCATTCGATTTAGTAATCTCGAGATATTATCATCAGATAACTGTTATCAGCGCCACAATAAATTATACTGTTGTTTCCCTACATTCACACGAAAGACAGACAGACATTCAGTCAGTCAGTCAATGTATTCGTACGTACATAATATGAAAATCTGATATTTTGCGATTCTATGACTCTCAGTAGTACTTGTTTTTAACTCTATCTAAGCATAACGAGCGGATATATAACATTTTTTAAAAATACTTAAAAATAAAAAAAAAACAGTGAAAATAGTTTAATTGTATTTAACAATTTTAAACTAGAAAAAAAACGGTTGCGTAGTACACGCCGTTTTAATTTACGACTACGGCGAAAGGGAGTGGCGGCACTCAATAAACAAAAAAAAAAAAAAACATTTAAAACTACATGATATTTAACTATGGATTCACCCACATCATATACACACAACAATCTAAATAGAAATCCTCTAGAAGCCGCCACTTTACTGTCCCCAACACCGGGTCCAAGTGTAGTACGGCGTCCAGTAGCTGCTGCTGTAGCCACGGCTGGAGTTCAAAGGAGACGTGTGATAAAGAAGCATATTCAACAGAAGTATATGTTATGTGGTTTCGCAATACATGTACATATTGGTGGTTACATACATATAGAATTCCACTTGTGTTTTATAATATAGTTCATTTTTTTTTATATAGATTAAAAAGATAAACCTCCTCTGGGAGTAAATAGTTAAACAGGGTTGTTGCTTATAGGCCACGGGGCGAGAGAGTTGTGGAAACAACAAGAGGAATTTGTATTTATCTTGTTGATGTCTTGATGTTGTTGATATTGTTTCGAATTTTGAAATTGTGATAAAGAAGTGTTGGTTGGTGTTTTAGTTGATAAAAAGAAAATTTCATGTAGATCTTCATCATTTCTAATAATAGGCCTAATTTATATGTAAAGTTATTATACAAGATAATAAGAAAGATTTTGGTTACCAATAGTTAGCAAAATATTATGTTTAGAAAATAATATTTGAATTTTAAAATGCTTATTATAGCCACGCTATGGACAGCAATACGAATAAGTTTGAAACGGATTTTTATCAAGTTAAACCCAAATTGAGCTATATACTTCAAAGAACCTCAATGCAAGGATAATTTTAAGAATTAAGCAATTCCGGATATACTAGTCTATAGTCTCGACTATTTTATAGTATCCACTATAGACTGTTACATAGTCCTGACTGTAGACTTTTCTATAGTCTTAACTATTCTGTAGTCTCGACAATTATATAGTATCCACTATAGGCTGTTATATAATCCTGAGTATAGACTATTCTATATCCACTATAGGCCGTTATATAATCCTGACTATAGACTGTTCTATAGTCTGGACTATAGACTGTTCTATAGTCTGGACTAGAGACTGTTCTATAGTCTGGACTATAGACTGTTCTATAGTCTGGACTATAGACTGTTCTATAGTCTGGACTATAGACTGTTCTATAGTCTGGACTATAGACTGTTCTATAGTCTGGACTATAGATTGTTCTATAGTCTGGACTATAGACTATTCTATAGTCTGGACTATAGACTGTTCTATAGTCTGGACTATAGACTGTTCTATAGTCTGGACTATAGACTGTTCTATAGTCTGGACTATAGACTGTTCTATAGTCTGGACTATAGACTGTTCTATAGTCTGGACTATAGACTGTTCTATAGTCTGGACTATAGACTGTTCTATAGTCTGGGCTATAGACTATTCTATAGTCTGGACTATAGACTGTTCTATAGTCTGGACTATAGACTGTTCTATAGTCTGGACTATAGACTGTTCTATAGTCTGGACTATAGACTGTTCTATAGTCTGGGCTATAGACTGTTCTATAGTCTCGACTATAGACTGTTCTATAGTCTCAACTATACATTGTTCCATAGTCTCGACTATACGCTGTTCTATAGACTATTCTACAGACTATTCCCGACTATAGACTGATCTATAATCTCGACTATAGACTGATTTGTAGTCTCGACTATAGACCGTTCTATAGTTTCAACTATTGACTGTTCTATAGTCTCGACTATAACTATTCTATAGTCTAGTCTATAGACTGTTATATATTCTTGACTATAGACTGTTCTATAGACTATTCTACAGACTATAACTATTCTATAGTCTCGTTTACAGACTGTTCTATAGTCTCGACTATGACTGTTTTATAGTCTCGACTATATACTGTTCTATAGTCGCGACTGTAGACTGTTATATAGTCTTGACTATAGACTACTCTGTAGTCTCGACTATAGACTGTTCTGTAGTCTCGACTATAGACTGAACTATAGCCTCGACTGTAGACTGTTCTATAGTCGAGACTAAAGACTCTTATATAGTGTCCACCATAGACTTTTATATTGTCTCGACTATTAATTAAAAATTTATCTATATTCTATGCTTAGTAAGAATCAAATATAGGTAATTCCAAACTTATACTTAGTCCTACAAATAAAAATAAATTTCTGAACCTTGTTTGCTATTCTAGAACAATGTATCAAAAGTTTCCCCAGTTTTTCTTTAATAAATTTCCCATTTTCAGGCATTTCTCGCCACTCCCGCCTATTTATATGGTAATGTGGTCGAATCAGATAAAGACTTAGTATTGCGCATCTGGCCGGCTATAGTATATCAAGCTACAGGTCAATTATGCCGAAGTATACTCGAACATTTGGATACCGAATATCATGGTAGAACAAGAGAAACAGTTAAATATCGTCGAGTCTTTTTGCTGGCCACCTTAATTATCTGCTGTTCCCTAATGGTAAGCGGTATATTCTTTTCCTCAGCCTGGGTAAAAGTTTCCACGACCACTCAAGCTATAGCCATAGTATTTTATGGAGTCTTTGCAGGTTAGTAAGGAATTAATACAAATAAAATTATATAGTATTCAAACTATTTCAATAGGTATTGGTGCAAGTTTATTTGTTTGGAAAACACATGTCATCCTAGAAGCAGTACGTCCGCGAGAAGATAAATTCGTACGCAAAACCATATTTTTATGTG